TTGCTCGCCTGTCCCCAGAGCATTGCACCTATCGGGATTCCTCTCAGATGAGTAATGCAACCTCAGCGTATTCGCATAAGACTGCTTCCAAAAACAGGAATTGTTTGTTGTGCTGTGCTAAGCAAGAGATCATGCGATATTTGATTTGGCAAAATCAGTTGCTGCAGCGACCATCTGAGACATAGGAACTCCGTTTGATAACCCACTGGCTTGGGCCGAGATTTCTTTGCCACCGCCTTTGCCATTAATCAAAGAGGAGACACATTCTACCCACGAATTCGCTTTCAGGCCTCGCGTGACTAATACCTATGGGAGAGCAGTACGTTAAAGCCAAAGCGGATGCTTACGCCAATAAAGGTCCAATTAAGCTGACCTTGGGAACTTGGGCAAGGCAAAGAACCTTGCCATCGTCCGCATCCAGGGACAGCGCCATAATGGCAGTTGAGGGGAATGCCTTTTCTATCGTTTTCATGGCAGTGTTGAGGACCTTTGCATTGGACCCCGCGTTGAAGATATGGACTATGAAGTCGCAGGTTGGGCCCTGGCAAATTTTCTTGGCCTCCCCCATGACCTGATCAGCTATCGTAGACTTAAGGGTCTTATCGAAGTCGTCCAAGCGCTTTCTAGCAACGCTTATTGCTGTACGCATCTCATCCCGGGGCCCTACTCCAATTTGTGCAGCGTCAACGCTCTCCGCCATCGCAATAAGTTTGGCTGCCAGCTGACGACATGTACGCAAGTCGAGTTTTTTGTTGGAAGTCGCTCTCGCGACGGCGCCAATTATTTCGGTAACATCACTTCGAAGTTTCATTGCCTCTCTTTCTGCCTGAAATGACCAAATACCACAAACATCCTGTTTAGGAAGAATGATGTGCACGTAAATTTCAGCATCCGAAAGCGAACTTAGAGATGTAACCTTTGTGAGATTAGTAATAATGGATGGTTTCCGAGGTACCCTCGGCGTGTGGCACTGTAAATAGTGTATGTATCGGTTAAGATTCTGATGGGTTTGAAACTGACACGTTCTCCTTCTGGTCCGGTGACGGCGACGATCCGTCGAATGCCTTTTGCGATGGCCTCCTCCGAGACAATAACGAACTTGCCGATGTGAGCCACATTTGTCACGTGCCTAATCAAAAGCAAAGCGTGAATGCTAAATTTTCATCGCAAAAGTATTAAATGGAACAACTAGCCTCTACTTAAAAAACTCCTCATAAAATGCGAGGGAACACCAGCTGGAAAAACTCAGTTGACATTGTACGTGGTGTGCAAGGCAAAGTTGAGAGCCCAGAATTGATCTTTCTTGAGGTATGTAAGAGAACTCACGTCCCGCCACAAAGTTCAACAGAGGTTCTAGTGGCTTTGTCAATAGACTTGAAGGTGATCAGCTTCTCCACCGGCACACCAACGGAGACGACGCGAACAGGGTCAGGGTACACCTCGCCAAAAACAGCGCGAAGCCCCTGAATTGCTTTTGCATCAACCAGGGACACGTCCTTTGCGTAAATAGGCTGAGCTGATCCTATCATTTTTCGAGAAATGGCCTCTGTTTGAAGTACTTGATTCTTCGTTAGGGCGTGCTATTTGTTAACGACAAAATACACTTCTGACACAATATAAAAATAAACCAAATTTTGACACATGAAGAAGGGAGCAATGTGATTTTATGGTGACAGTGAGACCTCTTAGTCACTTATGTGCTGTAGACTAGTAAGAACAAAGTATGCCCAGGTCCTAAATTGGCAGTGCTGATGATGATTGCGTAACTGCATACGTACATTTTGAAACAAAGGGGATATATGTGAAAAAATGATAACTTGGTTTCAGAGAAAGTAAACGTGCCTTGGCGGAGAAGTCAAAGCGGAGGCGATCTGGCGATACAAGACTGCCTTTTTGGTCAGCCTCACCCAAGAGGCGTCGAAGGGCGAAGTTGAGAACATGGGTGCCGGTGTGATTTCGCATAAGACCCACTCGACGTACCGTGTCCAACCCAATGTGCACCTTTTCCCCAAGAGAGAGGATACCCTCCAGTTGACCCAAGTGGAGTACAAAACCACCCTTGTTGCGTACTCCAAACACAGACAGCCCGTTAGCCTAGAACAAGAGAAATTCCATCAAGTATTGCATAGGCTTTGCTTTCTGGACCGCTTTGTGCGCGACAGTCCAATACGGTAGACTTTTTGTGCAACCCAATAAAGCTGTTTGCTAATTTGCAGTCACTTTAGCCTAAGTCT